AATAAACACGCGTTGTATACATCGCTATGAGTCCCATATCGAACAGGACGCGGCACGACGACTGCCGCCCTTTTAGTTTCAATGGTTCATATTTAGTAAAATGTGTACAAAACGACACCACTTTTTCCATGAGTTGGTGATATTGTGAATTGTCGTTTTTTTATCACCAAGGATATGTAGGAATAATTGTGGCGATAATTATGTTGTTCTTTCGTCACCAAGCTAGGATACTCGGGATCATTTATTTCTTCATCTTGTCAATACTAGGTAGATATTAAAAAGTCGTTCATTCAAATAAATAAATACACACACACAACACGATGAGTTGAGTCTACTGACCGTTGATAGCAGAGTGATGTCCTGAACCATTATGACATACATTACTTCCATCACAGTGTAATATGTCGAACGTTTACCTGCAAACATTTTGTGAATACTTATGTAATTATTAGCACAGATGTTTACTATGTGAGGTCAAATATTGGTATGAATCGTTGTTAATGGTTTTGATATCTTTGGATAGTTCAGCGACGAGTAACATTTTTTGTGTGAAATCCGTCATCTTCCATTCAAAGGCACAACATCGGCGCCGTAGACCACTATTATTGTTGTAGGTGGGGCTTCTGTAAATCTAAAATCAACAACATTTATCCTAAATTGTGCGTGATATCTTTCAGTTTGCTACCAAGAGAACACTTTTTACAATTTCAACATTGTTGCATTAACCCTGTGTGCCTGTAATTACATAATTTTGTAATAATTTAATTACTTTATGTATTTCTTCTTAATTTTAAAGGTGGCTGGGGTTTCCAATGTGATTTTGAAGTTGGCTATATAATTGATGGAATGAATCAAGACCCATACGATGACTTTGACTGGAATGTGGGCTCAAGCCCAACCCCATCTGCCAACACTGGTCCATCTTTTGACCACACCATGGGGAATGAAACAGGTTAGAGTTTCCGATCACTCTCATTGTATAGATTGCCGATGCTTACTGCCATATTACTGTATTTTCAGTGATTGACTATCAAATGTATTGGAATTCCTAGCAGAAAATATCCAATAAATAATATACGGTATTTCAGAACTTGTGTATAGACAATTGCTTTAATAAGTTGTAGGCTAAACTTTCCAAATCATTCCAAATATAACCGGAACAGTATTGCATTTTTATGAGACTATGCAGGGTAAAAATAACGACGACCAGCTCGGCCATCTCCAAATATATTAATACTAATTGATAGAAGTACTTTCAATTAGTGGAGAGAAAACAAAATAAACGTCCATTTGAAGTGTTGACAGCAAGGAACAATATTTTATTTGTGACTGGCTTTAATGATGCCCATTTACTTTTCACTTTTACACTTTTTGTAAATTTGAACTTTCAGGTCATTATCTGTATATTGAAGCTTCGGGTAGAGAAATGGGACAGAAGGCCATTATCACCACGCCGTTTATACCCAATGAATTCCCAGGACACGTCTGTGTGAGATTCTATTACCATATGTACGGGGCCAACATCGGTACACTCAATGTTTATATCGGTAACCATGGAAATCAATTTGATCCTCTAATGTGGAGTATGACAGGGGAATCGGGAAATGAATGGCTGAAGGCAGATGTGGATGTGCGCTTGAAAGATGTCATATTCATGGTAACCCTCATTGCCAACGTACTTGTGTATGCTTTCCGGGCAAACTGAGTTTGTGATAAATTAATGTTGAAAGATATCAGTTTTTTTTTTCTAGCAGGCTGATTGAGTTGTCAATGTGTAAAAACAAAATCATCAAATCGAATTTCCAGTAACAATTTCGAAAAAATAATCAAGGTGCTATTATTTTCAACAAAACAAACAATTCAATTTTCCACAAGAATGCATCATGAATTATTGCCATGACCTCATCAAGTTGATGTTTAGCTTTGTTTGATAGTGAAGGTCATATAATGACCAAGACTCGGTATATAATGTAATACTTTGAAAAAAATGGCTGTATTATCAAGTGTATACGTTCTGTAACACGTTTCAATGAGCTTAACGTTTTATATTTGCACAGGTGACATTTGAAGGAATCGTAGGAAGCTCTTATCTAAGTGACATAGCAATCGACGACATCAATGTATTATATGGCCTTTGCAGCGATATCGACTAAGTATTGGCTGAAGATACATCACGGGAACATATACGATTCAACCGTGTAAAGTGGGCATTGAAGACACGTCATACTCACTGATTTGTGCAAAATTAATTTACTGTAAATTACTTTATTTTCAGTTGGAATTTATTTTCGCTATATTTAATTTGCTGATGGGGTGAATCAAAGGAAATAAAATCCAGTAGCAAATTCTTTAGTCTCCTTAATCTCAAATTCAACTCGATATATTATTGCATTTCAGGAAAGTACATTATAACTATCGCAATTGGAAGTTTAAGGATTTGGCTTCTTCATGTTGTTGTGTTTAATTTCTGTATAACTTCAACTTTATACGAATAAAAACATAAATCCTCTACCGAAGCACATTTCATATTGGAATTCTGAAATTTTTTTTGAAGAAAGTAACCTCCAAATGTTGTCAATATTAGGTTTATCAACAGCTGGACGAATCATCACGTAAGCATATGTTCCAATGACCCATTTTAGGTAAAAATCCATGGCAACCATATATATTGGTACTAAGGTGGTTCAATAGAGCCATATAGGGTCTTTGTAGGGTCATCACGTCCTTCTATTGTTAGCATATCTGACTTTTTAATATCATTGTTTATTTTATTATAACCAAATTTCATTTTTGTGTGTGGCTTGTTGTAAACAGTTAGTATAACCAGCTTTATTTGTTTGAGTGTTAATAATTACACTAGAAAGTAATAACAACACGCTTTGACTGATTGAGTCCCGGGGCTTTGTGCGTCTTTTTCGAACGGATTAAATTAATACTGACATATTCGAATATAGGCTGTCATGAGATATAATAATGGATTATAATAACATTGTCAACCTTTCTCAGATTTGTGTATTGTCTTATTTCAAACTTAAGGCTCTTGGTGCGTGCATATATTACTGGTCATCGCCGTGGCATCGTAGTTCAACGATACGAGAATGGCAAATGATACGTATTCTGTATTAGCTCCGGCATTAGTGTTGTCGATACGGAATGCTCTATGGAAGCAAGCCTGACGCTTCCAGAGATTAGCTTGTAAATAAACTATAAGTAAATAAAAACACTCATTAGCATAGCTACACTTCCATAAATAATCGCCCGGGCGACTGAATTACATAGACGAGAATAATGATTTCAGACCACAACATACAGTCTGCCTCAATTACTTGATTTGAACGAACGCATATTCATTTGACCAGTTTCATTACATTGGTGAATGATACAGAAATGACTGCAAGCAGACAGAATCTGCTATACTCTTCAAGTTTTCTAATGACCGTCTGTGGTGAGTTAAACTCAGTCTGTCGCAAGAGGGCGCTGCTAGATGTGACGTGGGCCAAGATACTCGTGGTGACTCAGGCTTGCAATGCAGTGTTGCTGTTCCAGGAATATTATTGTCTTCGACTGCTGACACTTCCTTTCCGTCCTGTCACGCAAAGTCGTCGATCTACAAATAACAGGGTCATGGCCTTTCACGGCAAATTGCCTTTACTGGTCGCAGACATGGGTTGGTATTTGAAATATGAGTAGCGGTTGGCGATAAAACGCGAGTTGTAACTGTCGGTTTATCGGTGTTAGGAGTACTTGCGAGAGGAGTCGTAAAAACATAATATCTAGTGTCTTCGCTAGACCGGTCCCAATCACCGCTCAACTTGAGCTATGTTCCCGTACGTTGCAGTCGGTGTAATCCTTCTCCTGTCGTCGGTTCACGGTAGGTTCGATTAAATTAATTATATACTTGTGGTCAATAACATTACCGATATATCTTGACCGATCGATCAATCGTTGTTCAGTCGGTTCCACGGTAATTCAGTCTGTGTATGTATGTATGTATGTATATTTGATTATATTCATGAGAATTCGAAGTAGATGATTTTATTTTAATAACACCATTGTTATCTAAAAAAATATGATATAAAGATATATAGAATCATTGATTCAAATATCACGAGAAAAAGACGTTTTTTGTGAGAAAGTTAATTTTAAGTTGTATGACAGTGTTCATTGGTTTAATATATACAATGATAGAGCTATATTGTCATGGTAACCTCTGACAATTTAATAAATGTTGGCAGTCACGATATATAATCGTTAACATTCTATTTCAACGGCATATGAGATAATATATGCTATATTTTATATTTACCGGAAGTACAATTGTTTGTCATTCACGAGTATTTTTTATCTAAAATTAGTCTTCCGTGTCCCATATCCTTTGACGTCATCATACACCACACAGAAAAGTCTGACGTCTCACCCCAAACGTCAGAGGGAAAAAAATCGGAGACGAGTAGGTTGCCCGACGGTGTTACAACACGTTCACTAACTTGATAATTGATGGGCGCCGTATCTGGGTCATGGTTGGCCATAAAACCCATCGATCTGTTGTGAGCGAGAAGCTATTATCAAGGCTCACCAGCACGCTCTCTCGGTTCTTCCAATCAATCACCAGAAAAAAAATGACACCCCGAGAGGTGAAAGAGTCAGGGGATTAAAATGCCGTGCTTGTTTTATCTCTCGTCTCGGGTTTCAGCACATGCGATCTCCGCCACGGCAAAGAGACTGTAAAATTATTCGAATGCACCGAGAGGTAGCCTTATGTTACGAGACATATGTTTACTTACGTTTCACACTGTTATCTGTTTCCATGACAACTGTATGTAAATTCTGGATGTCATTATCCTTTTGTTTTTATGATGAACGCACAAAAGACGTGAACATTACATTTGTAAATTACGATTGGTACGCTTGGTTTTATTCAAAATCCCCCGAATTTGTTGTCTAGTCTATATGCGCTTACCTATTAAACAAAATCCAGATATAATTGAACATATATTCAACACTTGTTTCAGCGGTCATGTCCCGTGCAGTAATCGTTTATATACAAGTATATAACCCAGCCAGTGTGAACAAAAGTATATTGACAGAACACATGGCGTTCAATCAGTGTACTAGTAATCCAGATCGCACCACAAGTGAACCCCATTAATGTTTAAACGTTCACCAGTTCGTTGAAAGCATGGTCTCACGATACAATTTAATAGGTTACACATGATGCGGTAGTCATTCTTTTATAAATATACTTGTCGATTGATTTTATTGAAATGATACTTCATTTGCCTCGGGTAGCGTTACCCGAAGAAGCTCGACTTTATAAGTCAATACGTCTTGAAATAATTAAAATGCAAAGGAAACAAGCAGTGGCGGCCAAGCATAAGCATCACAATTTATGTGTTTACCATTTAGGATAATACTTCATTCATATATAGTCCCTGAATATTTGCACTCCTCGCCACGAAGCAGAATATTCCTGTAACTATGATTACAACCATGATATGTCTTGAGATTTGTTGGTCCCGGCCATGCGACGACTCAGATCAGGAAGTCCTATATTAGGTTTGCGACTGTCGCGACTTGGATATCTTGCATAACTAAGTGCCTAGACGGGAGGTGGACTCTGCTGAGTTTATAATTGTTAAAATCAATTGGCTGCATGATATGAGGCGAATTGTCATACCCTGAATTCTCAGACAAAAATCAAACAAAACAAATGTGATTTTTGGCATAGTACTGTCAGAGTGGATTCTATCAGCAAAGTCCTTTATATAGGAGTGTTACAACATGTAGGTATTTACTGCTATTAGTGGTGACACTGATCCTAAGACGCAACTTATTAATGGGAACGTGACGTAATTGAAACGATAATTTTGCATACCGGCGATCATGTTACCGTGCACGAATGCAACGCATAAACTAACTTGTTTAAATTAGGGGGCGTTAAAGAGAAAGGGGCCATCTTACGTTACATGACATAATAACAACCCTCTGTAAACTATAATGATGTTGTAATTTACTAATGTGTATATAGAGCTTAAAACCTAACACTGTGACTGTATTACATTTACATTGAAATATTCAGACAACCCATAGTTTACTGGGTTATCAATATATGATTCGCAGCTCTAAGACAGTCGGTGTGATGTGCATCGTTAAAACAAATCAGTATAATAATAGAACTACTAACACTTTGGATTCCACTTGCCTGTAGAATCCTGGGCCGTGTAGTAAGTTGAATACAAGAAAACATGCCCAGGATGGAGACTGAATTGCTGTCCTAATTAGAAGTTCCAAGAGTGTTCTTATACTTGTGTTTCGAAATCAAATTCAGGCAATACGATGGTGTTACACAATGTATCGCATAAATGTGAGTAGAATACCATCGACCGAGTGTACGTGCACGTCATTTACAGCGCAGAAATTAAAATAACTCGTGTTTATCAATTTCAGAAAGAAGGTTTCCTGTCAGATAATCCGTTTATCAAACAAAT